GATTATTTTGAGACAAAATGACCCCAGAACTAATTTGATTCTGTTCCCTGATTAAAATGTGCGAAAATCTTTTTAGATTTCTTTTTCCTTAGGGTTGCCACTCGAAATTCTCATATGCCTCCAAGAATTAGTCAAATGCCTTCCCACCCTGGTGCACAGCCTGAGCCGGTCACTAAGCTAACGCTGCACCCTCACGTTCTAGCTTCCCCGTCCACTGTGGCAACGTGCGACACCCAGCACACGGTCCAGTCCCCCCCTCCCTTCGAGCACCTGCTGGGTGCTGGGACACGGCAAGGAGACACACACCGGCCCCCTCCCGAACCCCCGACACACAACTGCTTCTGGGTAAGTAAGCACTCAGAGACACGCACACTGAGTGGTGGCCTGCTCAGGACAGCGGGGAGGGGAGGCCACCTCCGCCAGCAGACCAGAGCCATGGAGTGGACACGGCAGCCACGAAGAGTGGGGGAGGTGGTGCCAGCCCGGGGGCAAGAGGGAAAACTGCCATCAGCACTGCAGCCCCTGCCCAGGGCGGAGGGGAGGAAGAGGGGCCCCTTCCTCAGAGCGCATCACGAAAGCCCTGACGCTGAGCAGAGTGTTTGGGCATCACCCGAGGGCAGGGAGGAGCCTGAGTGGGCTCTGAGCAGGGGACAGCTACCACCACATGGGACCTCCACAGAGGGACCTCCAGCTCCAGACCCTGAGAGAGAGGGCCAGTTGACCCACCCCACACGGCAACGCAAATATGTTCCTCCATAATCTCATGTCTGGGCTGGCGCGTCTGCTGCAGAAGCTGCTATCACAAATCCACCCTAAAGTGCAGTCAGATGTGATCATCTGAGTCCCTGTGAGACCCATGCCCATGTGCTTCCTGAACACACGCTGCCTATTTCTGCTTAAATCACAGAAGTTTCTGAGAATGATCACTTGGGTAGACCGAACAACAGTCCCAAAGATGTCCAGCTCCTATTCCCCAGAATGGTGGTACTGGGTAGTAGACGGTAAACGATGAGGGTGATGGTGATGGTGATGGTGGATGGTGATGGTGATGCTGGATGGTGATAGTGGATGGTGATGGTGGATGGTGATGGTGGATGGTGGGTGGTGATGGTGATGGTGATGGTGATGGCGATGGTGGATGGTGATGGTGATGGATGGTGATGATGGATGGTGGGTGGTGATGGTGATGGTGATGGTGGATGGTGATGGTGATGGTGATGGTGGATGGTGATAGTGGATGGTGATGGTGGATGGTGATGGTGGATGGTGGGTGGTGATGGTGATGGTGATGGTGATGGTGGATGGTGATGGTGATGGATGGTGATGATGGATGGTGGGTGGTGATGGTGATGGTGATGGTGATGGTGGATGGTGATGGTGGATGGTGATGGTGGATAGTGCATCCTGCATGGAAGTGCAGGGGTGGCACGGGACAGTGGGTGTGCATACCAGGGAGTGCAGGGGTGAAATGCTGAGCCTAGCGTAAGAGAGCACGGACGGCATTTGGCGTGGACGATCAACACCAGAACTTTGGGCGCCCGCGACCCGAGGCTCTGTATTTAACCTCGCTCAATGCAGGCAGAGGGACAAGCGGGTCTCCGGGACAGAATCATCACCATATACCAGACGCCGGTCCAGGCCAGGCCACAAGACATCTGATAGAGAACATACATACATACCCGCTGTCTCTGTCACGGCCCATGAAGAGCTACTGAACAGCTCAAGCGCTCGTATGAACTCGCCCTATGAATGCACGTAGCACACACACGTAGACACACCACGTGTTCTAAAGCTATAGTCAACAAATAGGCCGCGTGCACACACACGCTGTCCCATTAAATCATCAGAACGCTCTGTGAGGTGAGTCCTAAGCTCCCGCCTGCGTTTTGGAGGCAAGGACGCCCCTGCGGGTGGAGGGCCGAGGCGACCACCGCCTGCGCGGGGACTTGCCCTCCCGTCCCCCTCAGCTACCTGCTACCCTGACGCAGCGTGATCGCTCTGATTACGGCAGCGTGAAATGGCCGGGTTCCTCTGCCCGGCGTGCGAAGGGGCTGCGGCGTGGCCCCGTTGCGGGCAGGAGGCCTGCTTTGAGTCCGCTGGTTTGCGGGGAAGCCGCAGGGGCTGACGCTTCCTCTGCTGCACGCTGCGGCAAAGGTGGCCCATCCCGCAAGGAGGACCCGTGCCCAGGTACCACAACAGGGACACACACTGGTTCCAGCTGCAGCACGTGGACGCCCGACTAACGAGCCTACGCGTTGAGTCTCTGAAGCAGCAAACCACACGGTTGCCGCGCCCACCGTTCTCCTGTGACGCCCCAAAAGCCTGCGTGTCCGTTTCCATGCCCCCGATTCCCGGGCCGGCCAGGTCTCACCTGCACCTCGGAGTCGGCGTCCACGTGCTGCAGCGGAACCAGGTGTCCCTGTTGTGGTACCTGGGCAGGTCCTCCTTGCGGATGGCCACCTTGCCTGCAGCGGGCCAGCAGGAGGAGAAGCGTCAGCCCTGCGGCTTACCCAAACAGCCGGATCTCAAGGCAGCCCCTCCCGCAAGGGCCACGCCGCACCCCTCGACACCCGCAGGAACCGGCATTCTCACGCTCCGGTATCAGAGCATCACCTGCGTCAGGTGCAGGAGCTGACGGGGACGGGAGGGCAAGTCCCCGCGCAGGCGGTGGTCTCGGCCTCAACGCCAGGCGTCCTTCCTCCAAAACGCAGGCGGAGCAGGACTCACCTCACAGAGCGTTCATGAGTGATTTAATGGACACGCTGTGTGTGCACGCGCGCCTATGTGAGCTATAGCTTAGAACACGTGTGTGTTACGTGTGTGTGCACGTGCATTCAAGGGCAGTCATACAGCGTTGAGCTGTTCATAGCTCTTCATGGCCGTGAAGAGACAGGCGGGAAGAGCCACAGAGCTGGGCCTGGCTTGGGACGGCGTCTGTGAAGGGAGAGATCTGCCCGGCAGACCCCTGCCCCGCCCAGAGGAGGAAAACAGAGCCTCGGGCGCCTGGGCCCCCAAAGTTCGGGACGTCCACGCCAAGCCGTTCCGTGCTCCTTACGCAGGCTCGCACCTGTGGCTGGAAGTCAACAGCACACACACAAATATATCTGTGCAGCATGTGTCTACCGTGTACAGATTCACAGTACGAAACAGGCCACGGGTGACCTTCCCCGTCCACCGAAACATTCCCTCGCTCCAGAAAAGCACCCAGGGCGGGCGGCAAACCACCGCCCCTCTCGTAGGCCACGGCTCTGGGCTACTTTGCCCGTCCCGTTAAAAACACAAAAGATAGAGAAACAAATTATTTTAAATGTGCAAGATATGCAGGCTGAAAACACATCACAAGACGCTGATGGAGAACATTAAAGACACCCTAAGCACGTGGAAAGACACGCGGTGCCACAGGTCAGAGATTCGACTTCGTGAAGACGTTACTCCTCCCCCAAATCATCTATAGATCAAGGTAATCCCAATCAAAATTCCTGTGAGAATGCTTTGGAAATTGAAAAGCGGATTCAAAAACATACACAGCAGGCCGGGCGCGGTGGCTCATGCCTGTGATCCCAGCACCCTGGGAGGCCGAGGCGGGAGGATCGCTCGAGGTCAGGAGTTCGAGACCAGCCTGAGCAAAGAGCGAGACCGCGTCTGTTACTATAAATAGAAGGAATAATTGCGCCAACTAAATATATATAGAAAAAGTTAGCCGGGCATGGTGGGCGAATACCTGTAGTCCAGCTACTCGGGAGGCTGAGGCAGCAGGATTGCTTGAGCCCAGGAGTTTGAGGTTGCCTGTGAGCTAGGCTGACGTGCCACTGCGGCACTCACTCTAGCCTGGGCAACAAAGCGAGACTCTGTCTCAAAACAAAAACATAAACAAAAACAAAAACAAAAAAACCACAAGACAGTGCACACCTATTAGAATGGCAAGATTTAATTAAAAATAAAAACCGACAACGCCAACTGCTGACGAGGGCACGTTGCTTACAAGAACTCAAAACGGCGCCGTCACCTGGCAACGCCATGCGGCGGTTTCTGAGGTGCTGACCCTGCAGTCTCACCCCCAGGGGTATCCGGGAGCGACAGTCACCTGGCAACACCGTGCGGCGGTTTCTGACGCGCTGACCCTGCAGTCTCACCCCCAGGGGTATCCGGGAGCGACAGTCACCTGGCAACACCGTGCGGCGGTTTCTGAGGGCCCCCGCGAGACGAGGCCCCGGCGATGCTCCTGCTTCCGGACGTGGCCCTGGCCAGTTGGCGACGGCCTGGTGCAGACACCGGACCACTGGCGCCTGTGCAAAACAGCACGGCAAGACTGGACCAAGCGAGCATTGCAGCCTCCCACCCGGCGCCCAGGGAGCGTTC